CTTTCTTCCCATTTCTAAATGTCAGTAATCCTACTAGGATCTTATGTATTATTGCAGATTATTCACACCAGAGAAACTATTCGGTATTTACACATGTGTGACTTATTTCACTTAGGAGTATATCTTCAACCCCTAAGATTTTTAAAAGGTGCTTTACACAGTTCTAGTTTCATAGTTACTAAACTCTTCATCTTTGTGGTGATTAGGTAGAATGTCAGTTTGATTGACTTTGGAATCTGCCCAGGGCATTGATGGAGCAGCACTATTCTGGCTTTGTCTGGGTGGTTCATGGAGGTGTGGCTTTGGGGAACTATGTCTGGTCCCTCCCTACTTCCTCTCTAATGTTGCTCCCCTGCTCTGTTTCCCAGCCAACATGAACTAAACAGCCATGATTTTTCTGCCTTAGAGCCAGCTGACCATGTACTGAATCCCCTGTAGTTCTGAACTAAATTAAACCTCTACTTGTTGAAATTTTGGGTATTGGGTATTGTGTCCCAGCAACATGAAAACTGGTTTATACAGTTCTCAACCTTTTCAAAAATGTTTTCTTGTTACCGTAATTCTCACGTTTAACCCTGGGTAGACATTAGTATCACCTGTGGAACTTTCAAAAGGAGAAAGCAGTAGAAAGAGACAACGTTCCAGGCCCAGCTCAGAATAGCTAATTCAGTTTCATTGAGTAAGTGGAATTCAGTTCATCACTCTTATTAAACATTTTTCAGATTATTTAAACTTATAGCTAGGCTATGAATCAGTGCCTAAAATCAGCATCTTTCCTGAGACCACTACTTATAAGAGAGACCCTTCTCTGTGTTTTCTAATAAACAGAGACAGGAGTATTAGCATTTTTCTTGCAACCCTCTTTTTATGAATCTCACCATGTCCAGTTTTACTGCAATCCACCCTTCCTTTTATACACTTTGCTTTCCATCATTATCTTACTAGGACTTTGACATCTGACTCAAAGTCACTTTCTCCACACAGCTCCTACTGTCATTCTGTGAGATTTCAATATCTTTGTTGGTCTGTCCATTGCCAGAGCTACAGAGTTTTCATCTTCCTCAGTTGTCTCCAGCTCCCCTCAAGTACAGCATGCATGGCCATACCCATAGTTTGCCGTCACCTTCTGTAATTTCATCACAGAATTCAGTGATTCTCTGGAATCCCATCCTTGTGACCCAGCCTTTCTTTCAGTTTGCTTATGTTTTCACATTTTTTATATACACTATGCCAAGGGTTTATATGTTTTTCTTGTTTTGTTTTATTTTTGTTGTACCTGAAAAGGAGATACCTAAACCTTTCTCTTCATTTTTCTACCACTCTTTCATTCCTCACTGCTTTGCTTTCTTCTCCCATTTGTATTGAACCATAAGGTTGACCTCAGATACTGTTTATTAGTCTGCTACACCATCTCATTAAAATCCTAACTCAGATCCAGCTCTCAGACTGTCTTGTGTGGAGTTGGTGCATGTATGTAGCACATCCCAATTTCTTTTTTTACATTCCTTATTCCTTTTTCTCCCTTTCTTCTGCTTCTACCTCTTCATGCTCTTCTTCTTTGAGAACAAACTCTAATTCATCTCATTTCTTGTACTCTATTCACTAAACGGCACTTGAGGAACTTTTTAGAAATTCAAATTGGATATGTAATTTGTCTCCTTAGAGCCCTCAGTGACTCCACCTTGCCTGTGAGATAGAGTTTAAGACCCTTGATATGGAAAATAGATCCTCTCACAATCCAAAATGTCCCTCTTATCTCCATTCCTTATTCCCCTATCATCAAATTTTATGCTATAACAGCACCAAACCACTTAACTTGCCAAAAATATGTGGTGAAGTTTTATTTCTTGGTATATTTGCTAATATTATACTGTTTTCTTCTACCTAGAACATTCTTGCATGCTTACTTAGCCCCTGATTATCCTTTAAGATTGACTTTGAATCTTTCAGGAATCTCTCATGCAGACAGAGCTAGGTTCTCTGCCTTGGTGTTCCCATAACATCCTGCATATTCCTGAATACAGAATTTATTATATTGTATTAAAAATTCTGTTACCACCACTAAAATCACTGTAAGAATAGCAACCAGGTCTTGCTTGTGTTTTTTATACCCGGCATATATCAAGAATTTAGTAAATTTTTTTTTCTTTTTTTGCCCACCCCAGCTCCTTAGCACATATCAGGCCTATAAAATATGATGAATCTATAAATGAATGTTGACTAGGCAGTTTACTGAGCAGAAATAAAGAAAGTACAAATTATGGAAAGTGAAGTCATTCCCCCCACCGCCCGTGGCACAGAGAAGATTTGGCGTTGCTAAGTGAGAATGGAACGACATGGAGGCACTACTTTCATGATAAAGTTGATACTTTGTTTCGGCATGAGTTGGTTCCAGAAAGATGACCAGATAACCCCTTATGGCTTGGTATTGTGCGCTGGATCAGGCATCAGTGTTGGAGAGAAGGTGAACTAGAGGAAACTGTTTAGAAATCTCAAAGATACAGAGGTGTGGCAACCTAGTGTTAAGCAAACAAGGACAATACAGAATCCTCAGGAATGTCTGCATGGGAAGGGGAAGGAAGTAGGAGAGTTCCCAGTAAAAGAGTCTTAAGTAGAATCTTTCTGAAACTAGGTATCAGTCAGGATAATATATTACGAAGGCTAGAAGAAAAAAAAAATTTAAGAAAGGAGTCAATTGCTGTGAGACAATCAGTCTGGTCAAAAGCAAGACTTTAAAGAAAATCCTTTGATTTGTTCTTTAGAAACTAGTTCTAGTAGGTTTGTTGGTTAGAATAAATTACCGTTTTCTGGAAATTCAGCAAAGGAAGAGGAAGAAAATAGTAATGGAAGAGAGTTGGTAGGTTTTTGTTATTTAATTACAAAAATATCTGCCTACTGGAAGAAATTTAAACATTCAGAATTACATAAATTAAAATATAAAAGCCTTTCCCTCAGTCACCCTATTTCTACTTTTCTTCAGTTTGTCATTTATCCATCCAGAACTTTGAAATTACATTATATTTTCTGTTATTGCAAACTGTTTTGATTTAATAGAGCATCATGAGGTTTTTCCACATTAGTATGAAGAACTATGCCATTCTTTTTAATGGTTGAATAATGGTCTTTTTAATGGATATGTACCATCATTTATTTATTGCGTTGTATTTCCACTATTACAAATAATTCTGCAGTAGCCATCCTTGAATATTCTCATGTTGTTGCTCATGTAATTCTGCACAATAAAATTTTAAAGTAGAAATGTTAAGAGAGGTGCATTTTTATTCTGTGTTGACAAATCACTTAAAAATAACTAATACCAACCTGCAGTTCTTCAGTAGTGTGTTAAAGAGACCTTATGCCCTTATCCTCACTGATAATAGGTAAATATTCCCACCTAACAGAAGAGTTTTGGGGTTTGGGGTTTTAGGCTTTACTTTTTAATGGAAGATTTGCTCTTTTTTGGAATCCTAAGACAGAATCCAGTGGGTAGAAAGAGTTTGTAATAAGATTAAGAAGATTTTTTTTATATAGTCACCTTTATTTTAGGGAAATTGGAAGGCATATTCCCTGCTGACAGGAGGATTATCAGGATGGGATTTTTAATAAAGTACAGATTCTTTATGTAAAACAAAAAATCAGGAAGCAATCCATATTGAGAACACAAGCACTGGCTAGTATTGACCTGAGAATGAATGAATTTGGGGGAAGCTAGATGTCATGGTCACATTAATTTTTCTCGTTGAATAAATACAGATGCAGTTGTTGGGTTTGCCTGGTTTAGGTCATAACTGAGATACAAGGTATATTCACATTGAAGCTTCAATTCTCCCTAATTTCCTGTCCTAGCAATATAAATTATATAATCTATGACAGACATCTACTGATAGTTTTGCACAAGAAAGTGATCTGTATTTTGGTAAAAAAAAAAATTAAAAGAATATAAATTTTTGTCACTATGCCTACATAAAGCTATGTACTATATTATTTTTATGTGAGTCACTGTGAACATAAAGCTATTTAATTTATTGGTTCTTATTAATATAAGTTATGGTGTTAACAAACATTACTAAACACAAACCAGTGGCATGTATAACTTTATATGATTTGAATCCTAGCCATAGGCCACCTGAGTGAAGAAATAGGTCCAGTAATGCTTCATTCAACATTTTTTGGTCTGGAAATTATCTCTCTTTCTAAAAAGTTTAAACATCTTAATTCTTAAAGTCTTACTTTTCCAGTAGCTGTCTCTATCAGTTTCTGTCTTTTTTTTTTTTTTTTAAGTTTCACATTGTTTGTGGGCATAGGAAAGGTAAAACCAAAGTGGCATGAATCTGTGGGAGATGTAACAGAAACACATCAGAATATTTCTCCCCACAATAATAAAATATAGGCAGAAATATGCTAATAATGGGAACAAGTTTATTTTATTAATGAGAAGAAAAACAAAATAAATGTGTTCATTTTCATTAAAATGCCCTTTATTCTATTTTTGCTTTGTTGACTTTATAATTAAATTATGTAAGGACAGAGTCCACTTCTTCCACCTGCACTATTGCATTGCTCCTTACATACCCTGGGTACCTAACAAACACTAAAACAATTAAAAATGAGAAATACAAATGTATTTTGAAGCATATGGGTGATATTTTAACCCCTTATGTTCATTTTTAGTACTTGGAATATACTTTAGATATGCAAGTCTTGTTTTAATATACTTTTTATTTCTGTAGATATTCAAATGTTTAGTCATACTCTGATTTTATTAGTAATTTCATGGCTTTGAATCTCATTTCCCTAACTCCAAATGTAAACTTTTTGAGGGTAAAGATCATTGCTTCTATAAAATTGTTGGGGCAGCATACAAAATTGATCTTTAGTAAATTACTCAAAATAAAAGTAAGATAAAAAATTTTAGGAAAATAAAAAATAAAAAGTAAGTTCTTACTGTCATGAATTCCCCTTCTACACTCCCTACAGTTCATTCACATTTTCTCTTTCAGTTTATTAAAGTCAAAATGCAATGGATGGCTGCCTAGAACCTCATCATCCTTTAAAAAATACCAAGACTCCCCAAATGGTGGAGAGAACAGGAAAGAGAAAAAGACAGTTGGGTTTCAGTCGCATATAGAAGATGATGCCAAGTGGATGTGTCAAAAAAAAGATACATGTGGCCCCCAGAGAGGTAAGTTTAACATCTGTAGTAGCACAATGATAAGCTGCTTGGGGAAGGTGGTTGCTGGTATTTGCTAGCCATTTGCTAGCCAATGAACAGATGATTTCTTGAAACGCTGAGCAGAAGTTAATGGTATAAACTTACTTTTCCTGCTAGACCACAAGCAGGACATCTACTAAATTAGTAAAATGTGTCTGCATTTTTCTTAGAATACTGATAAGGGAAACTCTGTCCAGCTTGAGCCTCTTTTTGCAAGCAACAGACTCTTAAGTATTAATCAGTAAATATGATCATAGACACAAAATATTGTCCAAATTGAGTAAGGATGACAAGAAGTTGAACGTAAATCTCTCCTGGAAAAGTAAACCCTAACAACAGCAGTTACTCCTCAATTAACTTAAAACACAGGGCAGAGCAAACATGGAGAAGGGATCATGGACAGCTCCATGTTGTGGTTAAAACAAAACCTCATAAATCTAAAGCAGATATTAACTAGCAGTCTTTCAAGTGCTAGTAATGCTTCCTATTTTTTATGTGGTAGATTTTTTAAAGAAATCTGTTATAAATAACTTAAATGTTGAAATTAAATAAATTAAATGTGAAATTTAATTATGTTTCCTCATTGTTCATGGAGTGGCCTTTGACCACTGTAATCTTTCCTAGCAGAATTAAAATAAAGAAAGGCTTTGGAAGGGAATGAGCCTCACTGGACAGAAGAGCTGTATAGGAAACAAAGCACCAACAAGATTTCTGAGCCCTTCTGCTCACACCTCTTCAACAGACGTCTTTTTTTTTTTTTCTACCCACAATGAGTAACCCTGATTTCTTTCTTTCTTACCTCTTTTTTGTACCCGGCTACTACTATCTTTCCACTTTTTATAATTTTTATATTTTTATAATTTCTTTAGCTACTCTCTTATTTATTGATTGATGGTGCTTTATGAGAAGATCTTGCAAGTGTATATCTCCCTGCCTTTCCACTTCTGCTGTCTGCTTTGTCATGATTTTTTGTTCTAATTAATCTAGAATTTGTTTAATCCTATCCTAGATAAGTAAAATATGAAAACAAGTCCAAACTTCAGATGGGGACTTACAATCTGAAACCAGAGCAAAAGTATGGAGGTATTTTTGTTTTTGTTTTTTACTTAAAGTAAATGTTCTGGAGACGTTCGTTGCTTTAGAACAGCATAGAAGCTTCTTAGTATTTGCTACCAAAAACAAAAATGGAGTTGAACAGACTTACTACCTAAGAAATAATTTTCTCTACTTTCTGTAGCAGTATTCTTTCAGAGATGGGAAACTTACTTCAGCTTTCTCTATTCTTAGTCATTTTACTTTGGAGAATGAAGAACCAGTCAGAATTAGTCTGGTGATTACACCACAAGGCTCAACGTAGTCTTCTGTTAACTTGTCAACAAATTCATGTTATGTGTCAGCACTAGAATAAAATGGCAAAATGAGAAAAATATAGTGTAATAGCAAAGGAACAAATAACTTGTGTTATTGGCTAAGACCACAGTAACATTAGAAAGCAGCAGTTGAAAAGCACTTTGAGAAAGGTATCATCAGGCCAGCCCTTGCTATGGTGGAGGTTAATCTCTCCAGGGCCCAGCTACAAAAGCCAGAAGCCTGGAAAGGGCTTGGTCCAAAAAAAATCAATTTCTAATTTGAAACAAAATCATTTTTGACTAACAGAAGTTCAGAACCCATTACTTTTTGCTGTACAGTCTGCTGACATTTCAGCACTTTCTGTTGTGTACAGTGAATCCTAATAGTCATTTTATAATGTTGCTGTACCAATCAACTTAACAAAGAGAAGCTATTACAATTCTGCAGTTTTCAGGAACAATTTTTACTCATGGTTTTATTTTTTTGTTGTTGCTGTTAGTAGTTTCTCTCTCTCCCTCTCTCTCCCTATCTCTCCCTCCTTCTCTCTCTCTGTCTGGAAGGGAGGTTGTAGTATTGCAGAGAAAAAAATACAGAAAACTTTTTCATCTTTTTAAAATAGTTTGCATGTTCAGATAGTCACAGGAACCATTAACTTTTTCTATTCATGAAGAAAGACTGTCTTCTGTTTTTCTTTTGTTATTCTAATATGGAGTCACTAGCAAAATTATGTCCACGTTATCATTAAAAGAGCTCAGGTTGCCCTCTGAAGCCATTCTGCCTATTGCAGGGCTAGTATACGCAGATTATTATGCATGGCAAAGTTATTGCATTGGCCTTTGCTGTGGCACCCAACCAAATGGGAGACATAAACTTTCCAAGGTGTGCTATAGTGGGTTTTGATACCCTGTTTATCATAAGGCCAGTGACCTAGCACTAATTGCCCACATTATACTGCCTGATTTGACACCTTCTTAATTAATTTCCCCTCTTTAGTCTGAGTTTTTTTAATATACATTTTTTTCTGTTTTATATCCTTTGTTTCCTTTGTTCTTGTCCTTTAATCATTAAGTACTACACTGGACATTTATTTCAGGGCCGTTAATCTTTATTACCAGTCTCTTACTCCTTTACCTCTAGTATCCTCCTTAACCATTCTGCCAACTTTATTGATGTTAAACATGTAAAGGAGGCCAGACCCATGACTCGAGAAACAGCCTGTGATCACAAAAAACATATTCAACATTGTCAGAATTGCACCTAAAATATAGATTTTTATATATTTGATATATCAAAATTTAGAATGTTATATTTCAGTTGTTTTTATTTTTCAGTTGTTCCAGCTTCTTCATGGAACAGAGAAATATTACTTCAGAAAATCTAAAGTTGGATCAAGAACTTTTAAAAGGCATTAATCTGGAAACACTCAATTTTTGTTCCTCTTTTTTCCTCTTATGCAGCAGCAAAATATTCTCTCCTAGCTTGCCCTAAACCTCCCTTTCCTGAGCAATTACCCATTCTTTAGTATAAGAGGAAGCTGAGAGCATTTTTTCCTGTTATGCTGATGGACTAGCCAAGACTGAGGACACTGAGCACACATTCCAGAAATTATAAATGTTAGACCTCAGAGCCTGGCATTGTTCTTTCCTAATGGCTCCAAAGCCATTCCAAAGCACTCTGCTACATTTGGAACTATCTTCAGTTTGTTCCTCTTTCATGGCTCTCTATAGTCCTATAAATCTTTGAGAGAGACTGATCCTAGAGTAATTTGGATTTAGCTGGTTGTATTGATCATGCCCCAAATTTTGTCTTTGAAGTTTTCTTTTTCAGGTTATATAATCTTATATAGCAACTTTCACTGGCTGAGCACCTCTGAATGGTTCCAAACGCTTTCATTTCATTTTATTTATTTATTTATTTATTTAGGTACTGGGGATTGAACTCGGGTTATTTTATTTATTTTTTACTGAAAGGGGATTATTGTAGACTCAAGTGAAATGAGGAATAATCTCTGAACCAAGTGGTTCCTATAAGTGAGCCTCTTCTTGTGATGTGAGCACTCTTCATGGCCTACAGTAGATTAATATATATGACATAATTAATAGGTAAATTGGGATGTCCCAAGTACAGAAATCATTTCTGTCTTACCTCTAAGTAGCATTTATTTGTTTTTCCTTTATTAGTACCATCATCATCATCGCTATTATATATTTAATTATAAGAAAAAGTACCACAGTGTATTACTTCTGAATCGCAGAAGTATAAAATAAAAGATTTATTAAACTTGATGCCTTTTTCAACAGCACCCAGAAGACAAGCATAATAATAGAGAGCTATACATAAGCCCAGGAATACAGAATAATTTATCCTGTCCAGTCACTTAAAAAAAAAAGAATTCAAATGTAAGAGTTGAATTTGCTATCGTTAAGAGTTGACATTGCTTTGTATGGAATATTGTCATTTAAACTAGTCTCTGTATTTCCCATTCTCTACAATGGAAAGAAATAACTTAAAATACATATTTATTAGGTATGTTTTATATCTTATTTCACTAGAATGTAAACTTCCTATGATTACTGTTGTATCACCTGCTCCTAAAATATTGCTTAATACATGTTAGTTGTTCCTTATATGTGTTGAATGAATTAACATAGGATTATATATATATATTGATTTTCTTTGTATGTCCTTGTCTCATTTTCCCAAAATAAGGACCTAATCAGTTAGACCTTTTGACCTCACTGCCTACAGTGATTTAGTGATTTAAGCAAAATATATGCTTATCCCCTCAAAGTCCTTATGGTGATTGATTGCTAGTGTCAAAGAAAAAGCAGTAGAGTGGGGTCTTAATTACCTCTTTCAAGTCCCTATCTCAAAATACAATCACATCCTAAAGAATACTGGGGGTTAGGACTTTTAACACATAAATGCAGGTGGGGGCACAATTTTAGTTTATGTATATGCCTATTTCTCATATCTAATTAGATCACCTGTCTATATTGTAGAATAAAATGTTACAAATAGATTTCTATGCCTTGTTCCTGATCTCATAGAGTGGACAGAGAGCCATCCATACATCAAGTATGATTTTTTGTTAGAGCTTTTTCATAAATAACACTTTATCTTGTGATATGTCTCTCCTAGTTTGCTGAAAGTCTTAAAGGCATGTTGAGATCTTTTTTCTGTATCTATTAAGATGATATTTTTTTCTTTTGCTAGCTTGATTGTAACAATTGGGAGGTATTGTGTACAGTGTCTCTTTTTTTGTAATCAACTTCTCAGGTTTTAATATCAGAATTATTTTCATGTCTTAAATGAGTCAGAAACTTGTCAGCTAAAATTTTGGACCAGGTAACTCCAGGTGCTTGTTCCTCCCCAGAAACATTGAAAACTGCCAAAAACTATCAGAATCAACCTTATCAGAACTCTAGAAGATAGTGAAAGATTTACAGAAGGCAAACATATATTTAAGCTAGGAGAAAGGCCCCTGAAAGATGGTGGAAGAGCTTTGTGGAGTTTTGACGACCTCATCCGAACCCCTACCTAGCGTAGAAGCAGTCTTGAAGATGGCATCCTGAGGTGGAGGTAAGAGTCCAAGACTTTAGAGGAATCAAAGGTCAGTT